TATATATATATATATATATATATAAATATATATATAATCGATAGATAGATAGATTTTTTCTTTTCTTTTTTTCTTTCTTTCTTCTTCTTCTTCTTCTCCCTTCTTTCTTAAGAAATACCACATCACACACGGCTAAAATTACCATCATCTTAAATGCAACCATCTCAGTGCGTACAAGGGCAGGGATTTATCTTGATGTAATAGTTCAGTGGAGTTTACAATCACAAGGTGACGGTTCACGTCCAGTGTTAATGAGCACCCCCCCCCCCAAAAAAAAAAAAAAATTAATAAAAAAATAATAATAATAAATAAATAATACAAATGATAGATAAATTTAAAAATGATAATGATGATAATAATAAAAATGATGATGAATGTATAGATAGATAAAAAAAATATATATAATAATGATAATAATAATAATAAAACTTATACTGAATACATAGATAGATAAAGAAAAAAGTTTAGCTAGCTGTCAGACCAATTTTGACTTTTGAATAAAAATAAATAAATAAATAATAGATAAATACATAATAAAAAAATATAACAATGATAATAATAAAAATTATGATGAATATATGAATACATAAATTAAAAAAAAAGTTAAGCTAGCTGTCAGACCAATATTTGACTTTTGAACTTAAAAAAATAAATAAATGAAAACATAGATAAATACATAGATAAAAAAAAATAAAAATGATAATAATAATAAAATGATGATGAATATATGAATAGATAAATAAAAAAAAGTTTAGGTAGCTGTCAGACCAATATTTGACTTTTGAATTTTAAAAAAAAACATAAATAAATACATAAATAAAAATAATGATAATGATAATAATAAAAATTATGATGAATATATGAATCGATAAATAAAAAAAAGTTTAGCTAGTTGTCAGACCAATATTTGACTTTTGAACTTAAAAAGAAATAAATAAATAAATACATAAATAAATCCATAAATAAAAAAAAAATAATGATAATAATAAAACTTATACTGAATACATAAATAGATAAATAAATAAATAAAAAGTTAGCTAGCTGTCAGACCAAAATTTGACTTTTGACTTTAAAAAAAATAAATACATACAAAATAAAAAAATAATAATAATGATAACAATAAAAATTATACTGAATATATAAATAGATAAATAGATAAATAAAAAGTTTAGCTAGCTGTCAGACCAATATTTGACTTTTGAACTTAAAATAAATAAATAAATAAATACATAAATAAAAAATAATAATGATAATAATAATAAAAATTATGATGAATATATAAATAGATAAATAAAAAAAAAAGTTTAGCTAGCTGTCAGTAAATACATAAATAAAAACATAAGAAGACCAATATCTGACTTTTGAATACTGAGAAAAATATTGCTGAGATTTCGTATCATATGTTAATGAGGATTTAATTATCTGGACATCCACAGTTGCTGCGAAAATGCAATGTGATATTGGTGTTAATTCATATTTAACTTCTGTAAATAAATAATGCTTTATATGATACAATAACAAGAATAAGAGGTACAAACAACAAACCACACCAATGGTAATAATGATGAAGATAATGATAATGATAGTGATGATGATAGTGATAATTATATAGATACCAATAATAATAATAGTGTTACGATAATGATGATGATGACAATGAATATAATAGCAATGATGGTAAATGATAGTTATTAAAATAATAGAATAAAGATAATAATAATAGTTAAAATGATAATAGTAGTCATGATAATGATGAGAATATAAAAATAATGAAATGATAATGATAATGATAATAATAATAAAATAATAATAATAATTTAATAATAATAATAAATTATTATTATTAATAATAATAATAATAATGATAATGATGATAGTGATGATAATAATAATGGTAATAGTAATAATAATAATATTAATGATAATAACAATGATAATGATAATAACAGTAGTGATAATAATGTCAATAAAATGATAACATCAACACTAAGAATGATAACGATAATGATATTAACGATAATAATTATGATAGTAAAAATGACCATGATAATAATGACGATGATGATCAAAACCATATTGATTATTATCATTGTTATTATTGTTATATTACTACTAGAGCTACTACTGCTGCTGCTGCTGCTGCTGCTGTGCTGGCTGCTGCTACTGCTACTACTACTACTACTACTACTACTACTACTACTACTTACTACTACTACTACTTACTACTACTCTACTACTACTGCTACTACTGCTACTACTACTACTACTACTACTACTACTACTACTACTTTACTAATACTACTACTATTACTTTACTATTACTATATTACTACTACTACTACTACTACTATCATACTACTAACTATCTACTACTATTTTAATAGATAATAATAATGAATATGATTATTTGAGTGAGATGATAATTTATAATCTAAATCATTATCAATAAATCATATAATAATAGCAACAATAACGACGATAAAGGAGCCAAAAGAAGCCCGCGATTCACCCCTTCCTTCTCAAGAGCTTCGAAGCTTCACGGAACTTTCTGTTTCTGTTACTTACTCACACACTTGCGTTTCCGTTTTGTGTGGTGTTCAGTCAGTGTCGTTCTGGAAGCCTAGGTGTGTTTGGGGAAGGACTGGGCTGGCTTTGTGTTTCGTTTTGTGTATGGTTTGTTTTGGGTGAATGTGTTGGGTGATGGTGCTGGTGAATCTCTCTCGCTTTCTCTTTCTCTTTCTCTTTCTTCTCTTTCTTTCTTCTTTCTCTTCTCTTCTCTTCCTTCTCTTCTCTTCTCTTCTCTTCTTTCTCTTCTCTTCTCTTCTCTTCTCTTCTCTTCTCTTCTCTTCTCTTCTCTTCTCTTCTCTTCTCTTCTCTTCTCTCTTCTCTCTCTCTCTCTCTCTCTCTCTTCCATTTCTACCAAATATGCGTTTATTTGTGTTATTTCTAGAATCTTGTGTCCTCGCTTGGTAACATCAGGTATGCCCAGGACCCTTTCCTGCCTTCCGTCGGTTATTTGTCAAGTTCATGCAAAAGCCTCAAGTTTAAGCTATTTCCGGACTTACCTGAGCTATTTCCAGATCGCATGTAGCCTAAGTTTGAGTTACTTCCTAGTTCTCCTATTGCCAGTGGCTATTCCCGGAGCGGAGACCACGGGAAGGAAATGCCAGCTAGTTCTGGAGAGAAGCGCCATCGTCCATACAACAGGGAATGGAGTCATCCTCCCTTTAAAATCGCTAAAAGGATTTATCGATGACTGGACAGTAACGGCACTGGCACTGGGTGTCATTTCACTGGACATATTGCGTCATATTCTCCTCCCTCGGTCGACATATTAATTTTTCATTATCTTTTAACTGGCTCAGTCTGCTTCTTGCGTGAGGGTTCTGCGTGGTCAATATGTATGTGTAAGAATCTCTCCCTCTGTTTCGGTCTCTCTTTTGGTCTCGCTTTCTCTCCTTTTCTTTCGTTTTCTTTCGCTTTTTCGCTTTCCCTCTCTCTGTAACTCTCTCTCTCTCTCTCTCTCTCTCTCTCTCTCTCTCTCTCTCTCTCTCTCTCTCTCTCTCTCTCTCTTCTCTTCTCTCTCTCTCTCTCTCTCTCTCTCTCTCTCTCTTCTCTCTCTCTTCTCTCTTTCTCTCTCCCCTCATCTTCCTTCTCCTTCCTCCTCTTCTCTCTTCTCTCTCTCTGTCTATCTCGCTCACTTTCTAGATCTCTGTGCGTGTATGTGTGTTTGTCCCTCTGTCTCCCTGTCTGTAATATAATGGGATGGTTATCCCACGGTGATGCCACCACATGTGATATAGGTGGAAAGGTTATCCCACTGGCTGGTACCACTTGCAATGTAGTGGAGGTGGAATTCTCCCACTATTACTTGGTAGGTGTAGGGTGGCTGAGCGGTAAGTGGTAGTACTAAGGCACTGGTGAGTTACTTGAAGGTGGTCTGGAGTTTAAGTTGTCGCTGGTTCATAACTTTATTGCGGGTAACTGGTACAAAGGGGCCAGGCAGGGACGCCCAAGGACAAGCCCGTGAGGGCGAGCGGTCCGCTGTATGGAACAGGAATTGCCATGAACAAAGTTCGTTTTTAAACATATCATGATGGAAAGCATAAAAGAATTCGAATGAACACAAATTTAGAAACATCAGGTCACATGACCGTTTCGTGGAGAGTAACAGGGGTATGGTCCACATAAACTGGGTATGTTTTTACAATCCAAACATTGTGGTTAAGGGACAGACTGGCTGACTATTCATGAAACATAGAACATTGGAATATCATTGATAGAAGCAGTTACATATTGATTCAGAATAAGCATTATCTAAGAAGCAATTTGAGTATAAACACGACATATTTATACATAAGACATCAGTACAAAAACATGAGAAATATAAACGAGCAATAAAGGTTGGATTAGCGTATTCTACGGTCACTTCGCCAACGTCATCTCGTTCGGGGCACTTTGGAATCTTGCGTAATAATAAGCACATGGCTTTTGTGGTCTGCGAGGCAAGGGCGACGAGGGGAGCAGGTCACTAGACGGTCTGTCTTCAATCTTAAATCTTCCATTTGTCGGTTGTCTAACCCCATTGACAGACATGTTTACAGGTTGGTAGTAAGATATGGGTTATGTTGGACAGTAAATGTTATTACAGACAGAAGACACGATTTATGTGTCTGACTTGTGTGTATGTTTTTCGTCTTCTTCTTCTTCTTTTCTTTCTTTCTTCTCTTTTCTTTTTTTTATGTACACTGGATATTTCAGAACCCGGTCAACACAACAGGGAAGAAGTGAAATGTGGCTGGCTAACACCGTAGACTTTTCCCAAATTTTGACACTTTTTTCTTTCTTTTTTTTTTTACAGTATGTCCTCTGCTTAAAAAAAAAAACAAAACCATCAGATGACCTACACCTTTTGTAGTTCAGTCCCAAAAAAAAAAAAAAAAAAAACGAAATAAAAACTCTGATTTATGAAGCTAAACAACATTTTCTTCTTCGCGCAGACTAGCAAGCCGACATGACGTCATCTCAATCGAAGAAATGAACGGGCCAGGAGACGCACGTGATCAGAAAGAAGAGGAGGCGTTTAATGAAGAGGAAGATGAGGAGAACCAGGTGAGACGCGGATAATGCGATGATGATGGGAACAGATGGAAAGGGAGAAGGAGTCTCGATTTAAAAGAAGATTAATCAGTTAGATTATGTACAATTAAATGAAAAATATTGACACTATGACTAGGGTGGTATACTATTATAGATATGTATATATATATGTATACATGTTATATATACATATATATATATATATATATATATATATATATATATATATATATATATAATTAATTTCCTCCAAGTAAGTGATACAGTGTCATTGCGAAAGTTATGCGGAGGCGCGAAAGCTATCAGAAGTTTTTTGTTCAGTTAATTGTTGTTTTGGGATTATAACTTTACTCCTTTCATTCGTTTGGAGATGCGCTTTTTGTGCAGTTCTTGTTTATTTCTCTTTGTTTTCTTTTATTTCTTTTTGTTTTTTATGTTTGTTTCTTTGTTCTTATTTTCATTCTTTTTAAATATTCTTGTCTTTCTCACTGTCTGTTTTTCTTGTTTATTTCTCTCTCTCTCTCTCTCTCTTCTCTCTCTCTCTCTCTCTCTCTCTCTTCTCTCTCTCTCTCTCTCTCTCTCTCTCTCTCTCTCTCTCTCTCTCTCTCTCTCTCTCTCTCTCTCTCTCTCTCTCTCTCTCTCTCTCTCTCTCTCTCTCTCTCTCTCTCTCTCTCTCTCCACATTATTTTATTTCCATACAGACACACAGCCTGGCATACAGACCGATCGACTGACAGACAGAGACAGGCAGACAGACAGACAGAGTCAGAAAGACAGACAGTCAAACAGACAGTTAAACAGACAGAAAAGACAGACAGACAAACAGACAGAGACAGAAATGACAGACAGAGACAGACAGATAGAGAAACAGAGACAGGCAGACGGAGACAGAAATGACAGACAGAAAAACAGACAGAGACAGTTAAGTAGACAGACATACAAAGTAAGAAATGACTGGCAGACAGACAAAAATGACAGACAGACAGACAAAAATGACAGACATTTAAATAGACAGCCAGAGACGGAAATGACAGACAGACAGAAATAACAGACATTTAAATAGACAGCCAGAGACGGAAATGACAGACAGATAGACAGACAGAAATAACAGACATTTAAATAGACAGCCAGAGACGGAAATGACAGACAGACAGAAATAACAGACACTTAAATAGACAGAGACGGAAATGACAGACAGCCACCCCCCCACCCCCACCCCCCCCACGCCCCCCACCCCCACCCCCCGACCCAACAGCCCCTCCCTTGCAGGTGTGGCAAAGGACGACCAAGTTCCTGGAGTACGACGCCGAGCAGCACGAGATCGAGGTCGAGATGGGCTTCGTGGACCCCTCCCACCCCCCGTCCCCGGATGCAACCTCTAGTAGGTGTTGTCTGCGGTGGAGGCCGTTGCTGAGGGGGGAGGGGGGGGATGTCAGTGTGGTGGGGTGGTGTCATTGCTGAGGGCGATGATGTCAGTGTGGGTTGATGTATGTCAGTGGGTTGAAGATGATGTCATTACAGATTGATGGTGATGTCATTGCTGGCTAGTGATGATGTCAGTTGCGGCTGAAGATGGTGTCATTGTTGACTGAAGATAATGATTACGAATTTATAATGTGTCATTATTGATTGGTGATGATTATCATTGTGGGTTGATGATGACTTCATTGACAATGGTGCCATTACTGACTGATAGTGATGTCATTGTCGGTTGATGGGGATGAGTGTGTGGCGCTGTGGTGGTGAGGGTAGTGATGATCATGATGCTGATAGTGTAAGGGAAATGAGCACAATAATAGTAGTGGTAATGTTGACGATGGTAAGTATAATGGCAGTGAAAATAATTGTAATAGTGGTAATGATAATTATTATAATGATAACAATCATGATAATGATGATTGTGATGATCATGATAATAAGTGATAATGATAATGATATAATAATGATTGTAATACTAATAATGATAATAATAATGATAATGATAATAGTGATAGTAGTAATAATAATGATAATAATAATAAAAATGATAATGATAATGAGGATAAAAATGATATAAATAAAAACGTAATATGATAATTATAATAATAATGATAATTATTATTATTATTATTATAATTATTATTATTATTATTATTATTATTATTATTATTATTATCATTATCTTTATTATTATGATTATTACCAAAGTAATAATGATAATAATAAATCAGATAGCAATAAATCATACTAAATTTTAACATAAAAGTCCCGATCTGAACAAAAAGAAAAAATCATAAAGCCAAAAACTGTCCGGCCATTAGAGAGAGAAAAAATAACAGAATAAAAAAGAGAGAAAAAAAAGAAAAGAAAAAAAAAACATATTGAAAATTCTCCAGCCCTTTCATAAAAATTAAAAATTAAAAAAAATAGTATTGAAAATTCCCCAGCCCTTTCATTCAACCTTGTCTCGTTCGTTCAGCTACATGCAATGGCGGACGAGGCGCTTCGTTGAACACTTCGTCGTGCGTGTGCTGACGGCGCTGCTCATCCTGGTCGACATGGTGATCCTGTTCGTCGACCTGTTCAACGAGCCCGCGCCCAACGACCCCATCGAGTACTGTTCACTCGCGTTCTCCACCTATTTCATGATCGAAGTCACGCTCAGGATATTCGGACTCGGGTAAGGCGGGAAGAAGCGGAGGAGGGGAGGAGGGAGGGTGGAGGGGATGGAGGGGATAAGGGAGGGAGAGGGAGGGAGAGAGAGGGAGAGAAGGGGAAGAGAGGTGGAAAGGGAGGAGGAGGGAGAGGGGGAGAGGTTGGGCTGGGTGGGAAAGGGGGAAGGGGAGAAAGAGGGTGGGAAGGGGGAGAGAGGGTGGGGAGGGAGAGGAGAAGGGGGAGGAAAGAGAAGAGAGAGAGGAGAGAGGGGGAGGGAAAGGGGGAGGGAGGGTGGAGGGGAAAGAGGAAGGAGAGAGAGAGAGGGTGGAAAGGGGAGGAGGGTGGACGGGGAGAGAGAGGTGGGAAAGGGGAGGGAGGGAGGGTGGGAGAAGGGGAGAGAGAGGGTGGGAAAGGGGGGAGGGAGGAGGGAGAGGGAGGAGGAGGGAGGGATGGGTAGGAGAAAGGGAGAGAGAGGTGGGAAAAGGGAGAGAGGGAGGGAGAAAGGGATAGGAGGGAAGAAAGGAGGAAAGGTGGGAAAGGGGGAGGGGGGGAGGAAAGAGGAGAGAGAGGTGGGAGGGGAGGGTTGGTGGGAAAAAGAGAGGAGGGAACGTGGAGCAAAGGGAGGGAGGGAGAGAAAGAAGGAAGAATGGATAGAGGCTGTTTACTCCTTTTTTAATGTGCTGTTGCCTGAATGTCCTTTTACGAGTTTATAAAAAGGATAGACAGATAGATAGACTGATAGACAGGTAGATAGGTAGGAAACACAGACAGACAGATAGATGGTTGGATGGCTGTATATATATATATATATATATATAATATAGAAAGAGAGAGAGAGAGAGAGAGGAGAGAGAGGAGAGAGAGGACATAGAGAGAGAGAGAGAGAGAGAGATATAATATAGATAGAATATAAAATACAAATAAATAATCCAAATAGTACAAATACAGATATACAGTAAATACACACACACAACACACAACATATAATTATATATATATATATATAATATATATATGGAGAGGAGAAGAGGAGAAGAGAGAGAGAGAGAAGAGAGAGAAGAGAGAGAGAGAGAGAGAGAGAGAGAGAGAGAGAGAGAGATGATATATATATATAGATAATATAAATACAAAATAAATACATCCAAATAGACAAATACAGATATACAGATAAATACACACACCACACACATACATATATATATATATATATATATATATATATATTTATATATATATATTTTATATGTGTGTGTGTGTGTTGTGGTGGTGTGTGTGTGTGTGTGTGTGTGTGGTGTGTGTGTGTGTGTGTGGTGTGTGTATGAAAAATAAGATCTTTTGCAACCGCAACCGCATCCCTGCACATCTCATCTCCATTGCCTCTCCCCCCCCCCACCCCACCCACAGGCCGCAGGTGTTCTTCAGGGCCTGGCACAATGTTCTCGACTGTTTCCTCGTCGTGTTCACCTTCATCCTCTCCGTCGTGACCGTCTGCGTGGAGAACATGTCGTCCAACCCCGTCAGGTGAGCATCAGCTGATTGATTGCGTCATCGGGCCAATCACCTGTTGGCTGGATGTCAAGAAGAGAATTTTTCTCGAGCTCGTGTGAATATTGTAATGCTTTTGACACGTGTATCAGCGGAAAATATCATATTGATGATAATGATAGTAGTGATGGTGAAAAATAATGATAATGAAGACAGTTATGATAATGATGGTGATGATAAAATACTAATATTGATAATGATAAAATATAATGATGAAAATACTAATAATGATAATGATAAAATACAATAATGATAATGATAAAATACTAATAATGATATGATAATATAATGATAATGATAAAATACTAATAATGATAATGATAATAACAATGATAATAATAATAATAATAATAATAATAATAACAACAGCAATAATAATGATAATCATAAATAATGATTAATAATAATAAAATAATAGTTAATGATAATAATAACAATAACAATACAATAGTAACAGTCATTATAGATAATAATAATAGTAATTAATAATATTACTATTATTATTTATAGAAATGAATTATTATATCAATATTTTATAGAAATGATAATGATAATAATAATAACAAAATAATAGCAACAACAACACCAACAATGGCCCTAACACCCACCCCCCGCCTCCAGCCTGATCGTGATCCTGCGACTGATCCGTCTGGTGAGAATCACGAGGATCATCTGGCAGCGAGAGGACCTCAAGATGGGCGCGCGGCAGTTCGTGTCCCAGAACAAGAGGCGGTACCAGCAGAACGGCTTTGACCTTGACCTCACCTACGTCATGCCGAGGGTCATCGCGATGTCCTTCCCGTCCAGTGGGAGGATGTCCATGTACAGGAATGATATTAAGGTGGGGGAAGGGGTGGGGAGACGGAGGGGGGGGGGGGGTGTCTAGGACATGGTGTTTCTGATTTTTCTTTTTTGCCCTTTCTTTTCTCGTTCTCGTTCTTCTTTCTTTTTCTAGGTCTTCTTCTTCTTCTTCTCTTCTACTACTTGCTACTTTTTGCTTTTTGTTTTTATTTTTGTTTATCTCTTTATTGATGTTATTTTATTTTTTGTTTGTTTTTGTTTTTGTTTTTGATTTCATCTTTTATATTTTTTCATTATATTTTTCCTTTTCTTATTCTGCTCCTTCTGCTTCTTCTTGTATTGGACTCTGCCATACACTCTATCGTAAACACCATCTATCATGACTCACCTTCTCCGCCGCATTACACCCGGATCGCATTTCTCCCCCAAAGGAAGTGGTGCGGTTCATGGACACCCAGCACGCGGGACATTATCGCATCTACAACCTGTGTTCGGAGCGTCACTACGATGAGTCGCTGTTCCACGGGAGGGTGGAGCGGTTCCTCATCGACGATCATAACGTGCCTCCTCTGACGTAAGTAGGGAGGGAGGGAGGGAGGAAGGGGGGAGGGGATGGAGGGGGAGAGGGGGAGGGGAGGAGAAGAGAGGGAAGAGGGGAGAAGGGGAGAGGAGAGGGAGATGGAGGGAGGAAAGAGGGAGAGGGGGAGATGAAGAGAGGGAGGGAGGAGAGGAGGGAAGAAGGAGAAGGAGAGGGAGGGAGGGGGAGAAGGAGAGGACAGGGAGAGGGGAGGGGAGGAGGGAGAGGGAGAGGGAGAGGGAGGGAGAGGAGGGGGAGGGAGGAGGGAGAGGAGAGGGAGAGGGGAGAGGAGGGGAGGGAGGAGGGGAGGGGGGGAGAGGGAGGAGGAGAGGGAGGAGGAGGAGGGAGAAGGAGAGGAGGGAGGGAGGAAGAGAGAGGGGAGGGAGGGAGAGAGAGAGAGAGAAGGGAGGGAGGAGGAAGAGAGAGGAGAGGGAGGGAGGGAGGAGAGAGAGAGAGCAGAGAGAGATGAGGAGAGAGAGGAGAGAGAAGAGAGGAGAGGAGGAGGAGGAGAGGTTTTGGGGGTGGGGGGGGATGGGGGGTTGGAGGAGGAGGTGGTTGGGGTTGATCCGTGTATGAAAGAGAGGGGGGGGGGGTTGTGTGTGTATGTGTGTGTGTGTGTGTGTGTGCATTTACACGACGATATCAGAAAATTAAAAAATGAACGACGTTCCCACAGCTTCTCTCTCGCGCCGTCACGAGTAAAATATAAACCTCCGTATTTTTCCACCGACTCGTAAAAAAAAAAAATAACGACCTACATAGTATCAAACATCAAACAAAAACATCACAAACCCTATAAAAACCAACGCCATTACTACGCCAACCCCAAGAATCTACCCAAGCCACAGCGTTTCCCTTCCCGCCCGTCCTCCCGCAGAGACATGTTGAGATTCAGCGCCAGCGTGAAAGCGTGGATGGAGAAGGATGAGAAGAACGTGATCGCCGTGCACTGCAAGGGCGGCAAGGGACGAACCGGCACCATGATCTGCGTCTTCCTCATCGACCTGGGCATCTTCAGGGACGCCGAGCACTGCCTGGGGTACTTCGGCGACCGGCGCACGGACAAGAACGTCGCCAAGAAATTCCAGGGGGTCGAGACGCCGAGTCAGGTGAGGTTTGGCGCCATTTTTTTTGGTTGGTTTCATTGGCTTTTTTTTTGGGGGGGGGGTAGTTAGGAGTGGGTTTCATGTAGATTTTTTTTTTTTTTTCTTTCTTTCATATGTTGGGAGGTGTGAAAAAGAAAAGATAAAGGAATAAAGAAAATAACACACACACACACACACACACACACACACACACACACACACACACACACACACACACACACACACACACACACACACACACACACACACACATATATATTATATATATATATATATATATATATATATATATATATATATATATATATATATATATATATTTAATGATAGAAGTTCCTTGTTTTGCATTCATATTTCAAACAGTATTTAGAGATTAATACGAAAAATTGTATGATGAGAAGCTTAAAAAAGCTGATCAGAATGCGTTTACCCAACCTCAAAGTTTTTTTTTTTTTTTTTTTTACTAGTAAAAGAAAAATCATAATTAATTACTTTTTTCATCCTAATGCGACACAATACCTTTTACGATATCAACCTAAACAATGTAAAAAGAAAGAAAAACAACAAAACAGAAAATAAAAAACCGATTCATTTTCCCCAACAGAGTCGTTACGTGGGCTACTACGAGCACGTGGTGAGAGCCAGGGGTCAGCTTCCCCCCGAGACGCCCCTGATAGTGACCAAGATCACCCTCAGGGGCATGTACACGGTGGGGAACAGTGATGGTTCCGAGTTCTTCCTTACTCTGGGGAGTCGTTGCCACACTATTCCCTTCCAAGCTAATCTGGGCTTGCATAAGAACTGCAAGTGTGTGTGTGTGTGTGTGTGTGTGTGTGTGTGTGTGTGTGTGTGTGTGTGTGTGTGTGTGTGTGTGTGTGTGTGTGTGTGTGTGTGGTGTGTGTGTGTGTGTGTGTGGTGTGTGTGTGTGTGTGTGTGTGTGTGTGTGTGTGTGTGTGTGTGTGTGTGTGTGTGTGTGTGTGTGTGTGAGAGAGAGAGAGAGAGAGAGAGAGAGAGAGAGAGAGAGAGAGAGAGAGAGAGAGAGAGAGAGAGAGAGAGAGAGAGAGAGAGAGAGAGAGAGAGAGAGAGAGAGAGAGAGAGAGAGAGAGAGAGAGAGAGAGAGCGAGCGAGCGAGCGAGCGAGCGGATGAATCTGTCTTTTTATTAATCTGTATATTACCAGTGTATATAGAAATCTCTTGCTATCTCTCTATCAATCTAAATACATATATAATGATACTGTACTCCCATTTATAGAATTACAAAAAAAAAAAAATGCATTTCCCATGTATATTTGAAGCTAAACATAGATACACATCATATAGACAACTTAGCGATTAGGAGCAGGAGAAAAAGTAATTCATAAAAAAGATAAATGAATAAATAAAAAATCAATACCATCAGGTCACGGTAGAGAAGAGCAAAGGCCTCGTTCACATCCAGTTAATTAATGCTCCAGTGGTACGAGGAGACACTAGAGTCATGTTCTTCACGGACAGTGTAAGTATACATGTTTTGTTACGACCTTTTGATGTTAACAGAAGAGCCGATGATGAACAAGACAAGTTTTATATTTTTAAAATTTATATTTGTTTCTCTTATATTTTCTTATTTTTAGTTTCCTTTTCTTTTTTCTTTTTGGTGTGTGTTTTCTGATGGTCTGGTCATGTGTTTTTTTGGCATTCATCTTTATGCTATTTGTAATTAAAAGTTTTTCATGTCTACATTCCATATAATCTTTGTTTTTATCAACATATAAGATATATTTTGCATAGACATAACATGATGATTATCAATTTTTTTTTCAATTTTTGATACTGTTTTTACAGAGGAATATTCCAAAAGGATATGAAAATAGTCCATTCTTCTTCTGGTTCCACACTGGCTTCATATCCGGAGGAAGGCAAGTGTTTCTGATTTTGTCAAGCCTTTTTTTATTATTATCTTAATACCCAGACTATATTCAATAACAATTGAAAAATGGTTACTTCTTACATTTTTATCTATGCATAGATTTCCTTTTTTTTTGTAATCCGTAAAGAAAAAAAAGAATATGTGGAATACTCATTTCATTTCTCTTTATTCTTAACAGACTTGAACTGAGTCGTCATGAACTGGACAACCCACACAAGAGCAAAACGTGGAATGTATTTCAAGAAGACTTTGGTGTTACGGTTGAATTTGAAGAGGACACGATGACAAAAGCCTATTAATAATTTCAATTGCCAGTAACATGTCTTGATTTCCATAATGAAGTTTTAAATTTCTGCTCTACAGGTAAATAAAGGGAAATCAAGTTACTTAAATTTTGGTTTAGAATAAAGAAAATAAAAATATTGCATTACAGAGTAGCTAATGCCAAACTTCTTAAAAATGGGTTGAAATCTAAGAATACATTACATATCTTAATTTAATCTGCAAATTTAGAATGACTTAGAGAAAGCGAGACTATGCTAGATTAGAGTTTGCTAAACTTCTAAATGCAGCATCTTCGTTAACTCCTCTTATGAGTCTTCTGCAATAAGGCCTTTTCAAGAAATATAATTACAATATTGAATTATATTTTAGCATAATTCTATTTCAGGAAAGCTAATTTGATTTTTGTTGTTTGCCAGATACGATCGTAATTACGATTTGTAAATATGGATATCAACTTTTTTTTACATGGAATGAATTGATTATAAAAAAATATATATATTTACTTGGTGCTCTTGAAAATGAAAACATTGCATAATATGTACTGCCAACATACCATACATTTGTATTTATTTATGAGTGCAGTTTCTGTGACTGAGAGTATAAACAGAACTTATTACTCTTAAACTTACTGCTGCTGTTGATAAAACTGATTGATTGCTACTGTGGGAAAATAATCTGTTGTCTAAGGTGCAAACCGACCTTTCAGTTTACATTCAAATGGTATATTAACAGCCAATCTTTGCTCAGGGTAACTTTTGTAAGGCATTTTTTACCATCCCTATTGATATTTATGGGCAATAGAAATTGATTCCATGAAAATATCCATGTATTATCAACATAATGTATCACTGTTGCCCTATATATGTTTTATTTTAGTAACTTGGTCTTCTGTGTAGTTATATATCTTTGGATATGTTATGTATTTTCAAGAATTACCGACTCAATTAATTTTTGTTCATACTGTGATATATGTCCAAACTTATAATTTCTATCACTATTATTTATACTTACAACTATAATTTACAAGTATATACTGTTAATTTAATGCTTCCCTATCTAACCCTTTTTGGAGCACTGTTTGATTGTCTTAACCCTGTGATAAAGAATATCATGATCATTACAATATATATATATCCCATTTTTCCTTTCATATTACTCTCCGAGAATATACCTCTGCTCTACTATTGTACTTATCATCATCATATTTATGTAAATATGTACTAATATGTCAAGTTTCTCTATGAAGAATCGAGTGTAACATATTTCTACTCATTTAGAATGTTTCAGTGTTTTGTACCCACACAGTCTGCATTCTTGTCCAGTTGACTTACCATGGATATACACTTTATCTTCTGTGATTTAATATAAAAGCTTGGAAAAAAAGTTTTTAGTCTAACGTTTTATTCCCCTATTCTTTCTTCTATTCATTAATGTCTAATACAACAAAAATAATTAAATTCATCATAATGATGAGAATTTAATCAAGTAATGAGCATCGTTAAAAAATGGAGATGATAAAAATAATGGTCATACTAAAGATATCCTAGCTATCTCTGTCTCTGTCTCTGTCTCTCTCTCTCTCTCTCTTTATTTCTGTCTCTCTGTCTCTCTCTCTCTCTCTCTCTTTATTTATTTTTCTGTCTCTCTGTCTCTCTCTATTTATTTCTGTCTCTCTCTCTGTCTCTCTCTCTCTCTTTACTTATTTCTGTCTCTCTGTCTCTGTCTCTGTCTCCCTCTCTGTAGATAGATGGATAAAAAGATGTAGACATAGATAAATGCAAATATAGATACACGAATATACCGTTTTCTTCCTCAATACTTCTGAAATTATCAAAGGGTGATGTGAAAAATAGATAATAATAACTGGCAGACGAACTGTTGTGGTTAGTTATATGACTGTTAGCTGCCCACTGGACAGTTATCATTTAATATTATCAGAGCAAAAGACAGCGACAGTTTTCATTGATAGTTTTTCTATGTCTCTATTACAAACTTTCGTTATTTGTTTTACTATCCTGTGCACATACGTTACTACAAATTTTCCAATCCTATAGGGTGAAGCTGACATTTTCATGAAGTACAGACCTGTTGTGTAATTCTCAGGAGGTTTAAATTTTTTACATAAAGTTTAAATTAACTGCACAAAAGGAGCAAAGAAATGACATTACTTTCCACTTATTACAATGTTCATAAAAGTAAAAGCTGCTAAGCAGATGCTGGAAAAGCTAATAGTTGTCAAAGGTGGTCCTAGTAATAACAGCTGCCAAGTAAGAAAAACTTTTGAATGTTATTTCATCTATAAGTCTTTAACCAAGAAGGAAAAATAAATTCAAATCATAGTATAATTAACTGCAACTTTATTGTAATTCATAAATATTACAGAACACATGTTGTAAACACTATTTCATATGTAAATAAAAACACTAAATAATAATATCACAGACATTTCACGCATTCTATAAAGTGAAATAATTTTCACAAACCTTGTACAGAATATTATTTACATAATTTACTGCTTATACCAACAAATCCTTAATGCAGTATGTGAATGCTTTATCACATATTCTTAGTCCACTTCAAAATATTTTGAAGAAAAATCATTCCATTTATAATTTGCTTTCTTTTCTGCCTACTCTTCTTTAAGCAACATTGAATAAATGTTCCTATATATCTATCACATATCCATATCTACATACACATTTACAAATCTCACTCCTGAATCACCTTGGCACTTTATTCAAAGGAATACTAATGTACCAGTTTATCTATTGCTGTCGTTATTATGTTGCCAGTTAGTGGTCGGGTGTCGGGAAGTTGATGCCAGAGAAAGTCGTTGGAGGCAGAGGCAGGGAAGAGTTCAAGCCAAGTCCAACCTGAAAGAGCATAAAAATAAATAAATAAATGCATAAAATAAATAAATATTTGTACATTAGTCAATAAAGAGAAACATATAAAGAAGCAAATATAAGAAACATGTGAATAGTTTTTGTGAATCAGTGGCATAGCTGTCATATTCTGCTGTCTGTACAAATACTTTTATTTGATGCTATGAGTTTATCAGTGGCTATATGGTTCTCTAATTCAACCCAGCAATGATTTTATCTTAGCTTATTCCTGAATATCTCCCTGTACCATCAGAATGCCTAGTGCTAACCCCCTCTCCATATTCAGCTCTGCTCCACAGCTGCTGCCACATAGATTAATTTATAAATAATGTTTTATAATAAATTTGTCTAGTGATATCTCTGTAAATTCACATATAAATTCTATAACTGATATATATGCAGAGAATACCCTTTAAAGCTATGCCACTATGAATGGCATGTACATAGATGCCATGCCCACTGTGAGTTAAATTTGTGAATTCTTTCTACATTTGTATCTCTACAACTTAGTCACCAATGAGCCAATTATTAGTACTACCTATCTCACCAGTTTACCCTTTTCCTTGATAATTGGAAATATCATCTTTTATCTTGTATTGCTATTAGTTACATTAATATTATAATAAATATAATGCCTATAATAATAATAACAGCATCAATATTGAGAGCATAAAAAAAAAATCACAGAAATATGCAATCTGGGGAGGTCATGAGGTGTACTAATTCACTCCATGACAGTACTTGTGGAGCCATCTTTATGTAGCCCCATTTGACAGAACAATACAACACTGAACACTAGTTTAATGGCATTGGATTAAAAGAGCATTTGCAGGTCAGTGCAATACTTCCAACTACCTAAAGGAAAAGTCAACTCCCTGTACAACAATAAACTACCAATGCTTTCAATCTCATTTCATTCCAGTCATACAAAGCTTTTCTTATTCCCTTACACCATGCACTTTGAAATCCTTTATAATAATTTCTCATGTCCCTCTCTTACTTTCTCTCTTTGACTAATTCACTTTCACATCATCCTTGTCCATTCAAGCTTATGAGTTTTACCTGATGATGTGGGGTGTGTGTGAATATATTATTCATGGAATTATTCAGGACTGGAGGAGGGAGTCTATTTGCATCAGTTGGTAACCCCTTGAGAGGTTCTGCTGGTGGTAACAGAGAAGAGGGCATTGGAGGTAACCGTGCTTGGCCCGGGATGGCTGCACCAAGAACTTCATTGTTACCTATGGCGGTTCCACGAGATGTAGAACCCATTCCTCCATTGTTTTCTCCTCCCTGTGGAAAATAAGTTACACAGTAAAATAAAGAAAATATGATGCTGGCATTACAGGGGTTGAAAGTCTATGTACACATATCCTCTTGTAACTTTTTACACCTTAAGAACCACCAGAAATTTATTCAAAATTTACATTAGATATCATTTCAAGAACAAATTTTTTTTTTTTTTTTCAATGTACCTTTCCATCAATCTCTGGGATGATGCTGGTCAGATTGAAGTTGGACAATGATGAGGAAAGGTGCGGAGCTGTGGGAGGTGCCATGTTGACCTGCTGTCTGTCCATCACACGCAAGGGGCTGAAAGGAACATGTCCTGGTGGTGCACCAGGTGGTAGTACAACAGATGAACCTGCACGGGTGCCTGGGGGACCTGCCACTCCACCTGCTCCCAATTGACCTGTCCCTCCTGACCCTGTGCCAGTACTAGTCCCTGGGTACTGAGCAGTATTGATTGGCATGAGATTATCAGGACCCAAGAGGAAATTGCTTTGGTGCCTGGGCGCTGTCCCTGGGAACAAATTTGAATGAACCAATGTTGGATCATCACAAGGAGGTGTAAAGGAATGGAGAGGAATGTGAGCGAGTGCCCCACCTTCCAAGAGATTTGCAGATCCTCCCATCCCACTGCTCACCATGTTGGATTCTCCATAACGAGGTCTCTTAGAGCTCACTCCGCTACTGCTTCCTATTGTGTGGTTACTAGTACTGATACTACCTCCAACGCTTGAACTCACTCCTATGTTCCCACTGCTTCGATTTGAATTGGATCTTGAATATGCCACTGTAGAAGAAACTGACGAGGAGGGTACAAGCTGCATGTCAGAGTGAGGTGCTCGCACAGCCATTGCACTACTAGCTGCTCCCATCAGTCCCCCTCCACTGCATACATCTTGGGGATCCAGTGGCAATGGAAATGTTGGGTTTGGTGGAAAGTTGCTTTGGTCTGTTGGGAATTCATGGAAGCGAGGATAAGGGCCTGCTGGGTGTGGTGGTGCCATGATATCACCAGACAGCATAGAGGATGATGAGGGAGGCAAATTTTGATATGGGTATCCTGTGGGCATGTATGCCATATTGCTTCCATATGCTAAGGAACCTGAAGCCTGGGTATGCAACTGGAAATTGTAATCTGGGTTGCAACCACTCTGACCACTCCGATCATGGCTAGTATATCCAAAAGAGGTGTTGGGAACAAAGTTCTTCATCTGCTGTGGGGAATAATTGCTTTGGTACATCTGATTCGGAGCCATGATTGGATAATTTTGATTTGCAGGTGGCCTGTGTGTTGGCCTGCCATAATTTTGAGTGCTTAAGAGAGCCTCTGCTGAGTAGTTATGTCCTTGCTTGTGCACAGTGGAGGATTTGTTGCTCCACATTGCAGGAGCCACTGAACCACTATTGCCTTGTTGAGACCCTCTTGCTGGGCTCCTTCTTCTGGAATGGGAGTCACCTTGAGAACTACTCTTGGTTCCTCCTGCCCCTCGGGACTTACTCTCAGACTTCCTGCTGCCTGATTTCGTCCTTGTTGTGTCCTTGGATTTGTCCTCTGTGTGGGATGCTGATCCATCTTTCTGCTGACCACTTATGGATGTTTTTCTTGGCTCATTTGAATGACTGACTAAGTGACTCACAGAGAAGTACCTAACATGTTCTGATGCTGGTTCTGGGCGCATGGGTGGTGGTTCGTCAGTTGTCTCCAGGAAAGGCCCAGGCATGGGCATGGGTGGATTATGAGCCAGTCTTGGGTCAGGCATCATTGTGGCATCTGGAGGTAGGAGATCCCCATGCTGATATTGGTGCTGCTTGCCATAGCCATAGCACTGGTGCCTGCCTTCCGAACGAGGTGAGTGTGGGGCTTTCCGACAATAGGCATTATAGTCATAGGTTGGTGGCTGCATGTAGCTTGGTGCTGTGACCATTGGGGGATGATATGGCATGGTAACCATCCCAGGCTGATGGCTGGCTTGCATAGCTGCACCAGGTACTTGGCCTGAGGTTCCCTTGTCCCCTAGGACATCACCAACATCACCTACAACAGCTCCTGCAACACCAGCCACAATGTTGGTGTTGTGGCCCAGTAATGAATGTCCAGGCACCTGCTGCTGAACAATTGAATTCTGTTGTTGTTGGTGTTGCTGCTGCTGAGTGAGATGCTGTGTTTGTGATTGCTGGTGCTTTTGTATGGCTGCTTGATTCAGGTGTGGCTGATTTATATTAGTAGCTGTATGCTGTTGCGAAGGGTGGTGCGCTTGGTGCTGATGTTGCTGTCGCTGAGAATGCTGCTGCTGAGTATTATTTGTAGCAGATGAAGGATTTGCTTGTTGCTGCTGAGGCTGAGGCTGGGGCTGCTGTCCTTGTTTCTGACTGGACTGGTACTTTGCAAGTGACTGCTGCTGTTGATGCTGCTGCGAATGGGGCTGTGATGGGACTCCATGCACACTTGCTGGTGATCTCTGCATCACAATGGTCTCCTTGGATGGTTGCTGTTGGTGATGATGATGGTGCTGCTGTTGTTGTTGCTGCTGCTGTTGTTGCTGTTGTTGTTGCTGCTGCTGCTGTTGTTGTTGCTGCTGCTGCTGTTGTTGCTGCTGCTGCTGTTGCTGCTGTTGTTGTTGCTGTTGCTGCTGCTGTTGTTGCTGCTGCTGTTGCTGATGTTGTTGCTGTTGATGTTGCTGCTGCTGCTGTTGTTGTTGTTGAAGTTGCTGAGCTGGGTGAGACTTGGGTGTGGGCATGTGCTGAACTTGCTGGACCAATTTTTCGGGCTGGGGACTAGTAACGATATGATCTGTCTTCCTCTGAGTATTGTGCACAACATTACTGGATATCTGAGGACTCTGTTGTTGATCTTTGGTGGATGACTGATGGTGCGTCACTCTATGGATGGAAGAAGAAGAAGGAAGAGAAGGGGGAACTAAAGAAGCAGGAACAGTGAGAGTATCTGCAGAGCGAGTGAGTGGTGCCTCCTGAGTGGCAGCTGGTCGGGAATGGGAGATGTCAACCAAGTGCGAAGAAGTGTGTTGTTGTTTTTCCTGTCGACTGATGTGTATGAGACTCATTGCAGATGCACTAGTTTTCTTGCTACTTTGCTCTCTTGTCGTTGCATGTTCTGACTGTCTATCATTTTCCATTTGTCTTATATTATCATTACATTTGCTTGCTTCAATGCATATGTACTGTTGAGAGTTTGCTAACCTGGACACTCCACTGTCAGTTTTATCCTCAGACTTGGATTTTAACTGAGGTCTTTCTTCTATTTCTTGCACTGAAACACACGGTATTTTGTCTCTGTCTTGAACAACTTTATGGGTGCCAGACAAATGTGCCACTGTGCCCTCATGTCCCTCTCTATGGTCCCTCGTTGAACTTGGCTTGCTCGCTCTGGGCACTGATGAAGATGAAGAAGCAGATATAGCGTCCAATTTATGATGGTGGTGCTGCGGAACTGCTGTGTCATCGCTTATTCTTTGTGATTTGTCACTCACTTTTGGGCGAGATTCATTAGCATGTGCAGACAAACTCTGATTTTGAAGGGGGGTCTGTGATACTACTGGTACTGAGGTTGTATCAGAAGAGACTGGTGAGAGTAGTTGACACTGCAGGTACAGGCGTTGCAGCAACCGAAAGTGGAGTAAGGTCAACAGGACCAATTTTGTTGTTACTAACTGGGAAGTCAGCTGCTGTTGGTGCTTGCTTTGGCTGGCTTGACTTATGCATTTTCCCAACCTCAGAGGTTACTGTGTTGGTGGTAGTAGGTACTGATACAGCAGGATTTGAGTTCAAAGTCTTTGGAGAATAGTTTTGATCATTTCCATTAGATTTTTCAGTCTCTGCTGATTTTACTTTAGAGTGGACTGAAACCTGCACATCTTCTTGACTTGTAGGTAAGGTAAGATCCATTAAAGATACAGAACTTATTCCTTCTATGTTTCCTGATACCGCCGTAATCTCTGAATTAGAATCCTTACATAACAGTTGTTCACTTGTTGTGGGTTTAGACAAGTGAGCATTTGTGTCCTCATTTTCTGCAAGGAGAATTAGCTTTGATGGGAAGAGAGTTTGTGTCCCACTGGTGCTAAATATGCTGCCAGCTGTAGATGGAGTCACAGCTGTTTGTGCAAGCGAGGATACTGCAGGCAAGTGAGAGAGTGGGGAATGAGATAAAATTGGGGGGCTTTGGGTAATACTGGTATTTCTCTTGTAAGAGTTGGAAGTAAACAGGGTAACAGGAAGGGAAACGTTATCAAGAGGGCCACTGGTGGTAGTTGCTGTGCTGGTTTGAGTAGATGATAACAGCCTTAATGGGTGTGGGAGAGAGAGATCTAACTTACTTGTGGTAGCTGAAGGAGTAGATGTTAAAAACAGTGGAGGGCCAATACAATGTTCCTTTCCTAATATATTTGAAGACTGATTCTTCATAGATTCAACAGGATTTTTACTAGTAAAAATACAGATTTTTTTTTACTAGTTATCACAGTTGAAAACGGTTGATTAGATGCAGAGACAAAATCAGTCTCTACAGTTGATATGGATGATGAATGAGAGGTACTAACAGCAGATTTTGTTGCTGTTGTTGTAATAAGTTGTGGTACAGAAGATAAACCTGACATGAAGCTAAATGCAGGTGACTGAGCTATGGTTGACTGGGTAGTTGGCATTACTAAAGACTCTGGTAAAGAAACAGTTGTTGATGCTAATGAAAATGATAAAGATGATGTTGATAACGATGACACTACAGGTGTAGTAGAACTTGAGGTTGCAATGACATCTGTGACAGATGCGGACAATGTTGAAGGTATTAAGGTGGATGATGTGGCAACATGAATTGTTCTCTGTTCTTTACTTTCATGTGCATCTGCATTCACAGTAGCATCCACAGTATCTGAACTATGTGACTGCAGAGTTGATGCAACAGATGCTTGCAAATCTTTGGACGAGTCCTTAGATACTACCGATATGTCTCCTGAGTTATATGCATCACTGGTAGATAATGAATGTAAAAAGGAAGAAGAAAATAGAGAAGATACTGTCGGTGTCCAGGTACTACTGGTGTTGCTACTCACTGATGCTGCATTATTTGTCACTGAGGTCCCAGATGATGCTGAAGGCATTGTCAAAGAAAATGAAAAAGATGGGGACTGAGAGGGCATATGATAATTTGAAAGTGAAATAGTTGTTGAAGGAGCTGTAAACAAATTAGGTAGGGAGATCACTGCTGGGGATACTGGATCACTTAATGAAGTTTTAGTAAATGTTACTGAACTAGTGGCCATGTTGGACACTGTCAAACTGGATGTAGACGTTACTGGTATACTGATGTTTGAATATGAAACTGATGGGGAAGACAGTAGTGTAGCTGAATGGTGCTCTGTTGTGAGAGGAGGAAGAGGAGGTAATGGAAGAGGAGGAAGTGGCAGAGACAAGGAATGAGAAGAAGAGGGAAGAACAGAGGGGTTTCTGAGGAAAAGGTTTGGAGGAGGAAGGGCAGTTGCTGGCGGTAATGGCAACTGACATACTGTAGGTGCAGAAGAAGCTTTTGGAAGGTGTTCACGTGAAGGTAAAGGTGTTTTGGATAGGTAATATTCGCCAGATGTGGTAGGAAGCACTAGTGGAGTAGAAACTCTGGTATGATCTGTACTTTCAGCAGACACTGTCACTGGAGTCCTCTGAGCCACTGACTCAACATCTGAAGACTGAACAGGTGGAGCTGAAGAAGAAACAGATGCTTTACCAAAATCTTTTACTAAAGACTGCTGTTCTTTCAAAGGCCTAGATGACAAGCATAAAGCTGTGATACTATAGGAATTACTAGTAACAGAACTCTCTGCTGATGTACAAGAACTAGTTGGCACTGGGCACTCTTCATCTTCAACTCCAACATCTTGCTGATTTTCTAAAGTTACTGAGCTAGGTTCATTTCCCTCAGCAGATATTGCTTGATTTTCTTCACAGATCTTACTGTTTTCAGCATCGCCTGAACTAACTTCAGCAGTTTCATCCTGCACCTCTGGACCTTTGCCCTGCTCAACCAATGGGTCTGTACCACTCACTGGCGAGGATGGAGGAGAAAACTCACATGCACGTGGATCACTCTCATCAATTGAACGTAACATCTCTACTAGGCGGTCATCTGTGGGATTGCTAGGTTCTATTCCTGAGCTTCTTATATTTTCTGTCATGACACAAGGCATATCAACAGGAATATCCATGATGTTCCCCAAGGCATCCTCTCCCACACAGTCCATGATACCAGCTGAATGAACAAGACCTGTTAAGGTGGTCGTTGAAATCTCTTGTAGGTCTTCACCATCTTCACTGGCAAGCTCTACCTGGTTTACAGTCACAGTCTTTGGGTTCAGACCAGATGACTGTAAAGGTTGAATGTCTGCTGGAACCTTTGACATGGTGGGCAACTCTGCAGAAAAGTCCCCTTTACTACGCTTAGCTGCCTTGCCATTATTTCTCTCTAAGGAGAGAGGACGTTTCACTTTGGCAGACACCTTGGTGGGTGTGTGAACAAGATCTCTCTTGACAGGTGAAACTTGTCCCTGATTCTTGGGAAGTGATGCTATAATGCCACCTGAAACATCCTTGGTCTGTGAGGATGCAACAGGCTTGCAGGAGCAAGGTTTGGGTGCAATTGGTTTTAATTTAGTAGCATGTGGAAGGGATGAAATCATGGGTTGTGGAGGAAGGAGGAGAACTGGAGGTGAATTGACTACCTTCACTAGATTCCCTGTCTGCAGGATTGAGGGAGGGACACCTGTGGACATGATAGGGACCCCTGAGAGCGAAGGGGTCACATAAGTGAGCTGGGAATTATCAGCTATTGGGGGGACAAGCTGGAATGTGCCTGGAGCAGAATTCCCACACTGCAGCAAGACAACTTTCTGCCCCTTGTTTTGTACTTTCTCTCCCCCATGAACCTGAATAGTGACCATCTGTGTTGGGTTTCCATAAAAATTTGATGCTGACACTGGAACTGACTGTGTAGCTGGAATTGACTGGGGCTGAATTTCAGGATGGACTGTGACATGTTGCATATCCTGTACAACCAAGCAGGTTTCAGAAGATGCTAAGGACAGCTCCTTTGCTGTACCCATTGTCTTATCTGATCCTTCACCATCCAGCTTCCTGTTTGATAATTTACTGGACCCATTATTGCTGGCTTCTTCTGTTTGTGTTCCTTCCTCCTCTATAATGCTCACCGTTATTGTCCCGTTCTTACTGACTTCTTCAACTAGTATCTTCTCCTTTGTCTTTTCACACTTCAAGTCACTTGCACAGTTTTGAGGCAACACAGATATATGTTCATTTTCACTTTCAATAGACAAACTGGTCAGCTGTGCACTTACAAAATTATGTGACAAGGCACTGACAGACGCTGCATTCTCTGACTCAGACGCAATTCTTGGGCTTTCACTCTCACTGTCCTGCTGAGGCACAAGGGTTTGGGCTGTTCCCTCGTCACTGACGGCAGGAATTGGCACACCCACATCTTCGTCTTGGAAGCCAGAGGAATCCCCTGCTGGAAGACTGGCCTCAGACGCATTTTCTGGAGATTTTTCAGCTGCTGGCTCCTTTCCTCCCTGCTTGTTTCCGCTGTCCTCTGGAGAATTACTGATGTCAGTATTCTCCTGCGTTCTTGCATCTTGCTCTGTAAAAACTGGTTGCTGTGTTCTTAAGCTACTTACAGTTGCTAGTTTTTCCGTTGGATCTCTAGGGTGTAAATCGCTGGAGTTTACAGCATCGTCTTCTTCCAGTGAGTCATCAATGCACTCTGAGGACAAGTCACCCAATAGGACGGGTATGCGGGTCCCACAGGTCACTTTCTTGCATGAAGCATTTGAGCAGTTACTTTGAACACAAGTACCTGCAGATAATCAGAAATTATCAACACTCATATTTCCTTCTGTGCTCTAATTACTGGCAATGATTTTATATTAAAGAATAAAATTAAGGGAGAGAGAGAGAGACAGAGACTGAGATAAATGCATCAGGTGGCAGGACAACACAAAGCTTACTGCATGATTTCAATAGAAACTGCCTGTAACAATAATTAAACATAAATGCAAAAAATTAACAAACAAATAAGCACACATACACACACACACACACACACACACACACACACACACACACACACACACACACACACACACCACACACACACACACACACACACCACACACACACACACACACACACACACACACACACACACACACACACCACACACACACACACACACACACACACACACACACAGATGGAAAGAGAGAGCAGACCTATGAATCTATAAATCCGCTTACCAGGAGTGGTATATATAATCTCTCCGCCGGAAGCATCCGACTCGATGCGTAGTCCAGTTTCTTGCAACAGCTTAACAAGGATGGCGTTTCTCTGCTTCAAGATTTCCACTTGCTTTCTTAACCGCCGAATTACACGCTCTGTGAAGAAATCATCTCAATGTACAATAGAAAACACAGACACAAATAAAAAAGACACGCATAAAATAAGGACAGCAAAGACTATCATCCTCATCATCATCATCATAATAATCATAATAATACTAATAATAATATTCAATAATACAAATAACAATAACAATATTAATGCAATTATAATAACAACAACAATAACAATAACAAAAACAATGACAATAATAATAACAATATCTAAAATAATAATATTATCATCATAATCAATAGTAATTATAAAAATAAAAATAACAATGATGATGATATCAATAATAATAATAAAAAAAAAAAAAAAAAAAAAAAATAATAATAATAACAATAAAAAATAATAATAATAATTATTATTATCATTATCATTATTATCATCATTAATATTATTACTATAACTGAGTAATAATAGTAGTAATAAAAGTAGTAATAACATAGTAATACAAGTAACCAGTAGGAGTAAGAGTAAGAGTAAGAGTAAGAGTACTAATAGTAGTAATAATAATTATAATCACAATAATAATAATGGAAATAATAGTAGTAAAAATAGACGTAATAATAGTAAAAATAATAGTATTAATAATAGTAGCAGTAGCAGTAGTAGTTGCTTAGTAGCAGTAAATTAGTAGTAATAATGATGTTAATAATAGTCTAATAATGATAATAACAATAAAAACAATAATAGAAATAATGGTAATGATAGAAATAATGACAATAATAAAGATGCTAATACTAATACTCACAATAATAATAATATAATAAATTAATAATAATGATAATAAATAATAATAATAATAATAATAATAATAATAATAATAACAATAATAATAATAATCATCATCATCATCATCATAAAATAATAACAATAATAATAATAAATAATAATATAATAATAATAATAATAATAATAATAATAATAATAACAATAACAATAATAACAATATAATAACAATAAAATAATAATAAATAATAATAATAATAATAATAATAATGATAATAATAATAATAATAATAATAATAATATATAATAATAATAATAATAATAATAATAATAATAATTATAACAATAACAATAGTAATGATAAAGAAATAATAATATTTAAAACAATAATAAAGCTAATAATAATAATAATAATAATAATAATAATAATAATAATAATAATAATAATAATAATAATAATAATAATAATAATAATAATAATAATAATAATAATAATAATAATAATAATAATAATAATAATAATAATAATAATAATAATAATAATAACAACAATAATAAAGTACATAAAATTAAGAAAATATATATATACATAATAATAATAATGGTCATACATTAGCACTAACGACAATGCAAATAATAATAATAATCATAACAAGATTAATGATAACAACAATAATAATCAATCCAACATATAAATAAATAAATAAAAATGAAGAAACGCAAGTACACAAATAGACAAGAATATTTACCATATAGTATATAATATTTTTTCACCTTTTGAGTCAATTCCTTGACTTGGCAAGAAGTGTGACTATTTAGCGAATCTGAATCTAAACTGCCTATATCACTCGGCATTATGGACTCCTAGAATAACCAGCGGGCAATGCTCAATCTTCATACTCCAATTGTTAGTAAACTATCATTTCTTTTAGATTGAATTATCCATTACATCAAATTCTCTGTTAACTTCTTTTTAACTCAATCTTCCAGACTTCCTTGTGCACGAATGATTGAATAGTTTCTCGCTCTATTATAGGCCTAGTCCTTGTATAGAACATCTCAATACTGAAATATAAACCAAATGTGAAAATTCTCAACTCAAGATGTAACACACAACAAGAATAAAATACCAAACCTTTTTCCAGACCTTTTCAGACCCTAGAGATAGCTATATACTTTTTCAACATTCAAAACAAGATGCAAATACCCGTTTATAAACATTCAAAGAGAGCAGTCCTTTTACTCACAAAACACTCACATGGACTGGTAACATAACCTAGCACCCTTTGTACACATTAACAAATATATACCAGCCATTATATTCTAAACTCTCCAAGCCCAAAGGAGATGCTGTCCACAAACTTACTCAGCTCTTGTGCTTCATTTCCAGCAAGAACATTCTCCTTGAATGTCTTGCTCTCCTGGATGTATTCGATGGCAGAATGGATGATCTCCACCTTAGTCTTGGGGTCACCATCGGGCAGCACCAACCGCAACTTGTCCAGGCCCTTGTTGAAGCGCTGTCTGCGAGCAGCCTCCCATTGTCTAAACTGTCTGCAGAAAAGATAGATACAAAATTATATATATACATCCACATATGTACTTTTTTCTTACAGTAGAACTGCATTCTTTAAAGAAATGATGGAATTTCTTATACTTTTCAAAATAAAGACTCTGAAAGGAACTGACCTGAGTTATAGTTAAATGAAAAATAAATATCAAATATCAAAATAAATCTTGAAAAATGCATGAACATTCAGTAAATGTTACAAACATACTGACATTCACCAACAGCATCATGCCAATCACTGGTCTAGCAAAGACTAACATTCTCTACATATATTCTTGTAAGCCAGAACTTCCAGATCTCCCTGGCAATAACAATATCAAAAACAAAAAAAACAAAACAAAGTTTAATCTTGAAAGTATATACATGTTGGATAGTTATTAGCCATTGCTGAAATGTAAAGTACAGACTTCAAAACTATCCCTTACACAATCCATCCATTAAATATATTGAAAAGCCCTCTGCTAATGCATTAGTAACATTAAATAAATATTTTCAAAACTATATTTGAGATATGAAAAAAAAAAATGTAAACATCAAAGATCTCATATTGATTCCATGAACATCTAACCAGTTTCACTACTTCACACAGCATTTCATAAATACCCTAAGAAATGTCAAAATAGATGCCCTTGATGCAACCCCTTAGATTTGGTTCAACCACTGTACAAAAACCTTAAAAAATTTTGCACTTGGTCCGGTGAGAAAAAAGGGGAGGTTGTTACAGATAAGTATATTGAAGAAATATATTTAATACATCATGGGAAAAAAAAAACATATATATATATATATATATATATATATATATATATATATATATATATATATATATATATATATATATACATGAAAATATAGCATTGATATACCAATGGGGACACTGTGCTCCATGAAATGGACATAAAAAAGACAAAAAGAAAAGACAGAATTATACAAAACATAAAAAATATTATATATATATCCCATATAGAGGGGGATTATCATCTTTATTCTGCCCAAAACTTTGTTTTTTTGCATGAAAATCCTTTTTGCCTGATTACATCTCTACCACCTCCATCAGTAAACTATAGGATTTGTAGCCTTAAAAAAAAAAAAAAAAAGATATCCT